ACATTTGTTAAAACATGTACACTATTACAATGTTAGAGAATATTTTAAATGTTAATCTAATTAATTCGTAATCCACTTGTATTACAACAGCCAATGTTCTGTTTAGAATGTGTTCATGTTGTGCCTAAAGTAACTTCTTTTCTTAAAGCGGATCTAGCAAGTTCTGCTGACAAACTGTTTGGAACAAAGGCTCTTTACAAGCCTAGTATAACAGACATAGTATGTAATCCTGTCTAACTGCCTTCTTTCTATTAATACATCCAAGTCTGGGTGGAGAGACAGGTTTAATACATAGTACTTACTTAACAATTGAGGTCATGTCAATATTTGAAGTGACCCGACACACATCCGTATCATGCACACACTGAGGAACACATACTAGTTTCCTGGAGGCTCCTTTCATACAGCTTGGTTCCTTGATTAGGAACATACATACATACTAACATTTGTATAGCGTCGATATCCAGCTCAGCTCAGCTGCTCAAAGGCGCTTTGTTTTTCCCTCGTTCACTGGATGTAAATCTCAACGGCACATCATATTGTCAGTCTCATCTCCCTGGGGAGCATACAACTCTTGCAGCCACTAGGCGCACCGAGTTATTGTGGCATTCCCATCCTTACGAGGTACCCATTCACAGCTGGGTGGACTGGGACAGATAGTCACAGTACTTTGTCCAAGTTGCAGCTATGTTTCCTGTATAGTGCAAAAGAGGTAGTTAACTAAAGTTTTCATTTGCACATATCTTTGAAAACAAGTATAAAATGGTTTTGAAACACCATAAAGAATATAACTAACAAATCAAATTATATCCTCTATTAAGATAATTTCAGTTGATAATATATTCTGAATTGATCAGCATAAACATCTTAAAATAATAAATGTCAAGAAAATGATTTGAGGCCTTCTTGATACAGTTATTTTGGGTGGATTTATATTACTTATAAAAAAAATAACTAAAGCTTCATGTCATTAAAAACTAATGATTTTGAAACGTCATGAAGAATATAGCTAGTATATCAAAATATAACAAATATCAACATAATATTTGATAATATATTTAATTGAGCAGATTTAATATATTATCTTAAGCGAATAAAAAAATTCAAAACAGGGTTTGGTGACTTTTTGATAGTATTTAGGGAGAAATTAAATTATTATATTATGTGAATTTTATTTTTTCATTTATCATGAACATTAGAAAAGGAATGTTTAAGACTTGAAACTTCCTGAATATTGGGTCACATATTTAAATCAAATATGACTTGTTTTAATCAATCAACTTGTCCGAGTTTCAATGTAAGCATTTTCTATTATCAAACATGCAAGCAAATTTATTGTTGGCAAAACACATTAGATTATCCATTGAATAGTAATGAAAGGGTCCATATGTGAAAGGGGATTAATTATGAGTGAGTGAGTTTAGTTTTACACCGCACTCAGCAATATTCCAGCTACATTTGTATATGGCCGCGGTCTGTAAATAATCGAGTCTGGACCAGACAATCCAGTGATCAACAGCATGAGCATCAATCTGCGCAATTGGGAACCGATGACATGTGTCAACCAAGTCTAGCAAGCCTGACCACCCGATCCTGTTAGTCGCCTCTTATGACAAGCATGGGTTACTGAAGGTTCATTCTAACCCGGACTTTCACGGGTCGACCAAATTATGAATAAATACAGGATAAAAATATGAATCAATACAGGGAAGCATGTATTGCTTATATTTTTTGAGAATGTATTCAATGCATCGATGTATTGATGAATGGTGATATCCTAATACCAACAGTTGATGCATTGTTTCTTCCAGAAATGGAGAAGTGCTTTCTATTACTAGTAACTTTTAATGTCTGTGAGCAGCTCAGGACAAAGTCAGTGTTTAGCTTAACTTAAATTGGATCCCATATTTTAATGAAATGCCTTAAAAGATGTGAGATACTGCTCAAAACACTTTGATACCAAACTCACTTGTCGCTCACAGAGTCGTTGCATTCGTGACAGACTTGTGACAAATGTGTTTCAGTTTCTTCCTCAATCCCGTGGAAAGTCCGTTTCAAGAAATTTGAACTGAAATGTATCGGTTTCCCATCTTCATTCCTAGCCCGATATAATTCATGACCAACACTGAGTACACTTGGTGATAGATAGACAGAGATTATGGATTGGTTATGTCACAGTTGTGTCAATAGAGGTCAGTTTCTACCCCAACTTCCTGGTCAGCTTCCTATTGTGGCTGGCTTTGTCTGGGTTGATGGCCACAAGCTAGCAGCATTGTGACTGACTGAGTATCGTTTTACATCACTTTTAGTAATATTCCAGCAATATCATGGCGGGGGACACCAGAAATAGTCTTCACACATTTATGATACCCATGTGGGGAATCAAACCCAGGTCTTCGGCGTGACGAGCGAACGCTTTAACCACTAGGCCACCCCAGCTGCAGCATTATGAAGTCCATGTGTGAAGATTTATGCATAAAATGAATGAGATTAGTCTGAAAACTGTAAACTATTCTGTCCCTCCTCACCCTGAATTCTGTCTGAACACGCATTAAAAAGTTTTCAAATCTATAATTTTTTAATCTCGAATGACATTTTCTGCTTGGCCCCAATGATCATCCAAAGAAATAATAGTGTACAAGCTTGTGGACTGATTTACAAAAATGAGCTGGCATCACAATAATGTAACTGAAATACAGTTAGTGAATAAACATCAGTGCTGCACAATCCGATGAAACCAATTCCACATATGATGTATTGCTGGATGGGTCAGTGAAACGAGGGAAGACACCAGGTGGCTGGGAACTCTCTAACACAGGATTCTTGTTCACTGCATGATGCTGCTTTCACACAGATTAAACATATAAATTACCAAGGATGATCTAAATTAATTGGTCAATTTGATTCAATTTGAAGTGGTTAAAGAGCGATAATTACTTCTGACTGCATCAATGCACCAAAACACAATGTTTTCAAAATTGCAGTTGCTTTTACAAAAAATTTGCAGTGTTTATCTATGGAGGTCTACCTCAAAACTTTAATTGGAATTCTGAGGTTCTCTCCTTATTTGTTCATAGCTGAAGTTGATTAAGATTATGATGATTGAGATGAGTCACTGAAGTGGTAGTTGTTGCCAGGCAACAGTAGCTTTACTTATAGTTTATGATGTACGCTACCAGGGCCTGGCAGCAGTAGCTGCTAATAGCTTTTGGTAGCTTTTTGCACAATTAACGAGTAGCTTAGTAGCTCACTGCCACATGCATGCCATCAGCATTTGAGTCAACTGTTGTTCTTTGTAGGAATGAGCATGCTATGTTTGGTGGCCACACCCACCTTTGTCGTATCATAGGATAATTGTATGTTACACCATTCAGCAGTATCCTTCAAGCCTGTTTATGGGCCATAACGTGACTAGAAGATTACCGTGTGAGACCCGGGTAATATCCTGGAGATGTATGCCTGGCCACTCAGCCTTGTCAGTGTAACGTCTCCACACAATCCTGACTCCACACACCAAGTCACACTCTACTTGTGACGGCCAAATATTACGGTGTGTCTGTTGTGATCAGGAGAGTGTTTAAATGATATTTAAAACGCGAAACTGGTAACATGATGGATATTGGACAGCCTCCTATCAGCTCCGAGAAGCTGTTTTATGAGCAGATGATTGATAATAAGAGTGGAGGGTGTTGGGGTGGCTAAGGGATTAGGATAGGGATTACTTTTCTTAGACTAAATAATTGTTCCATAAAATGCTGCATTTTGATCCCCCCTGATCTCAGATATGCTCCATGTTATGGAAAATAATGAGCCCCAATTTGGAAAAATAGTTGGGTTTTTTTCAGAAATATTTTGAGTGTTTTGAAACAATCTGACTGAAAACGAATTTTGTCTCTTTTAAACAACTCAGCGTCCCTGCCTCCTCTACTGATAAATATGGTTTGGATTGATAATACCTGTGTACATTTACTTTCATAGGTATACAACTATCTATTTGAATATTGATTGATTACATTGGTAATGGTTTGTATACTTTGCAGACATCATCCCTTGATTCTCTCCTTTCTTCCTTCTTTAATTCCTCTGTCAAACACTCAAGCTTTCACTTATGAAACAAGTCAGCCACTCATCCATGCTCACTGACCCACTCACTCACCCACTGACTTAAACACTGACTAAACCATTCATTCCTCTACTCACTCAACCACTCACTCACCCACTCACTCAACAACTCACTCACCCACTCACTCAACCACTCACTTAGCCACTCACTCACCCACTGACTTAAACACTGACTAAACCATTCATTCCTCTACTCACTCAACCACTCACTCAACCACTCACTCACCCACTCACTCACCCACTCACTCACCCACTCACTCAACCACTCACTTAGCCACTCACTCACCCACTCACTCAACCACTCAATCAACCACTCACCCAACAGACTCACTCACCCACTCACTTAGCCACTCATCACCCTTACTCACTCACTCACTCACCCACTCACTTAGCCACTCACTCACCCACTCATTCACCCACTCACTCACCCACTCTGACTTAACCACTCACCCATCTCCTTTCACAAACTGAAATAATTTTAGCAAAAATTACTCATACCTAGTGTATGTAACATTATTACCATAACACATTGATATTCTGATAATGATATGTATATAATGTGTCAATTTGAGGACATACATTAGTCAGAAAACTGGATTTCCGCTTTGAGTAATTACAAAAACAGCTGTACAGACCAACCTGTACTCTCGAACTGCTTTGTCACAACACTTTCTGCATTGAAGCCCTGTTCTAACAAACACCCACAGCCTGCCTACCAGGGTTCGACTGTACTTGTCAAGCAGGTAGCATCTAATACATACAGGGGAATCCCTTTCAACAGAAGAATGCATGTGTAGGAGCTGTGCCATTTATCAGCAGCTTGAGAGCCATGCTTGAATCCACATTGCTGTATTGTCAGTTCAATCTTTGTAGATCTATTGGAGCATTGCTGGTATGCAACAGACATGTTGAATAGGGGGAACTCCTTACAGTGGTGGGGTATGTTAGCTGAGTGTGAAGTATACGTGTAAGTTGTCATGCATTAAGTAACGCAGTCCTTCTCCTTACAGGGTAATGGTCACACAAAGAGCCATGTACAGGATACATCATCACAAGGAGGGATAACAGCCTACTAATTTACCATCAACTTATGTAAGGTGAGTTCACATCTACTGCCATTGGGATTCACCTTAGAATATGTTCAGTGGAGGACGGATTTTGTTGATACTGAGAACATGTTGAGATCAATGAACTTATGAGGGTGGGTATGTACTAAAACATCTTGTGACAATGGTGTTTTATATGGCGAGGTAAACGATCTGCTGTCACAGTGGGTAGAATGTAATTACTCAGAGACAGGATTTGAGTGATACTAAGAACAGGCTGAATATATGTTACCTTAAAATTGCTCCCATTTCTCAATGCCTTTGAGTTTTGTGTTAAGCAGTGTTTGGGATTCACTCATGGTGAATAATAGGAGGGTGGTCGGGATGAGGGGGGTAGTGACCACTTCCTATAATAGCTCCAGATTGCATTGTTTCATCCTACATACGTACGCATGGATTTCTTCAGTCAATCCTGAATGTTGTTTCTGTAACTTGTACAGGGAGGTAACATCAGTCGTTTATCACCCATGTTGTTTCTGTAACTTGTACAGGGAGGTAACATCAGTCGTTTATCACCCTTGTTGTTTCTGTAACTTGTACAGGGAGGTAACATCAGTCGTTTATCACCCATGTTGTTTCTGTAACTTGTACAGGGAGGTAACATCAGTCGTTTATCACCCATGTTGTTTCTGTAACTTGTACAGGGAGGTAACATCAGTCGTTTATCACCCTTGTTGTTTCTGTAACTTGTACAGGGAGGTAACATCAGTCGTTTATCACCCATGTTGTTTCTGTAACTTGTACAGGGAGGTAACATCAGTCGTTTATCACCCATGTTGTCCGTTGTGATAAGTCAGTCCAGGCTCCCGAGGAAGCATGTCTCTAAATAATGTTACATTCTGGACAGAGTTGATAAGTCCACGCAAACACCACTGTTGATCACAAACGTTTACTGACGCAACAGTAGAGCTGTTACAGACAGGACTATGTTACTCACTATCAAGGGTTATGTTCCTTATGTAACCTTGGTAAATTATCAGAATCCCGGATCTGTAAGGGATTCATGACCCTTTATCAAAATCCCGGATCTGCGGGGTATTGTGTACAGCTATCATATACATAGGTATCATGGAAAGGTATTCTGTATCCAGACTCTTTTATTGGTAATGCAATACTAAAGACACAATCTAGAATAAGGTGATACCAACTAAAAAGCCTTATACCTGTGTTTGATAGTTATCAATATTCAGTTTATAGAGTACAATTCTGTCAGTAATTCCATGTTTGAAAGTTGTCAGTGTGTATGAAGTATCATTGTTATACGTCTAACCAGAGAAGTTATGAGGTCACCTAGGTAACACAGCTGCCATGTCTTGGTTCTGAAAACATCCCAAAGAAAAATGGTCCTGTTTTTTCTGCGTAACTATTCTTGCCACATGAATATTGTAGCAGACTGTGCATACACTAGGGCTGCGCAATATAACCGGTTTATCGGTATTTACCGGCTCAGACCTGAAAGCGATACGTATTGCGATACGCTGATCGAAAACCGGTATTTGGACTTGCATTCGGAAACTTCGTAACACTCGGAAATCTTCGGATATTTCCTTGTTTCATTCGTGCCGAATATTATTTACATTTTTATTTTGTCATGATTAAAAATTGTTATTAAAACTTAATCAAGCCTAGTGATTTTGTTGTGTATTTGCTCTATGAATCAAGTATTAACCTGATTATAAGTATTTTTTTGTTTAAAAATATTTCATGCAATACATTGCAATACATATCGCAATACTAGTATATGCTTTGGCATCGCAATATATCGCAATATGAAAATTCTCTGCAATACCCACCCCTAGCATACACTGCCACTGGGGCTTAAATATTCACATGTCTAGCATTCACGACTATTTGAGCAATCAGGTATGATAATGTACTGGTACTCACAACCTCCCTGTCAAGCTGGTATGTTGAAGAGAACCTATTGATTGATTCCTTCAATGGAACATTGATTGAGTCTGTGTTATTGATGAGGTTATTTATTTTGGAGCTCACATCGTTGCCAACATAGAATCTTTTGCCGAAGCTGATGATTGTGGGGATAGAAGGCAGGTTGTAAAACAACCAATAAACACAGACATACAACCCAACTACAGCACCTTAAAGTTTGATGTTGTTCAAGCTAATCAGTCTCATTCATTATGAATGATTTCTCAACTAAGAAACTGATTATAAAAAAATGTGATTTTATTGTTTCACAATTGCCTTAGTATTTTTTAATGAATTTGTATGGATAATTGAGCATGATGTGAAAAATATAGAACAAAAGTTTGTATTTGTTTTGTGGAATAAGTAACATGTGTATGTATCTGTTTAACACTGCTCTCAGCAATATTCCAAATGTATGACAACTACCTGTATTTAAATGAACCTGGACTAGACAATCCAGTGATTGCTATTGTTAGCATCAATTCTGATTGTTTGGTGATTCAACTAAATCAGCTGATCGATGTGGTTACTGCTAATATCAGGGACAATGCTCTGAATGTATAAACTCAACTCAAGAATGACTTACTAATTATTACATATTTTGTGCAAAAGAAATGATCAGATTTGAAATTTTAACCAGTTCCTGCATACAGGCTGCATGATGCATTGCATGAAATGTAATATGTATTGAATGAAATTTTGTTTCAGTTTTCAGTTTGTGCAGTTCCTATTTCCTTTTACATGTATAACTAAGTGTAGTATCATGTTGTAAAATAAATATACCAACAACAGAATAAACACACCACCAACAAAAAATAGAAGTTCCAACAACTGTACCTCCATCGAAGTAAATGTACCTCCAACAAAGTATCTGAACCTCCAACAAAGGAGATGTACCTGCAACAAAGTAGCTGAACCTCCAATAAAATAAATGTACCCCCAACAAAGTAAAATTACCTCCAACAAAGTACATGTACCATCAAAGTAGCTGTACCTCCAACAAAGTAAATGAGTGAAAGAAAGGTGGTGTTAAGAGAGGTGGTGTTAAGAGAGGCGGTGTTGAGAGTGGTGGTGTTGAGAGAGGTGGTGTTGAGAGAGGTGGAGTTGAGAGAGGTGGTGTTGAGAGAGGTGGTGTTGAGAGTGGTGGTGTTGAGAGTGGTGGTGTTGAGAGAAGTGGTGTTGAGAGAGGTGGTGTTGAGAGAGGTGGTGTTGAGAGAGAGGTGGTGTTGAGAGAGGTGGTGTTGAGAGAGGTGGTGGTTGAGAGAGGGTGGTGTTGAGAGTGGTGGTGGAGGAGAGGTGGTGGTGGTGTTGAGAGAGGTGGTGTTGAGAGGTGGAGTTGAGAGAGAGGTGGTGTTGAGAGTGGTGGTGAGTTGAGAGAGGTGGTGCTGAGAGAGGTGGTGTTGAGAGAGGTGGAGAGAGGTGGTGTTGAGAGAGGTGGAGCTGAGAGAGGTGGTGTTGAGAGAGGTGGTGTTGAGAGAGGTGGTGTTGAGAGAGGTGGGTGTTGAGAGGTGGTGAGAGTGGTGGCATGAGAGAGAGGTGGTGTTGAGAGAGGTGGTGGAGAGAGGTGGTGTTGAGAGGTGGTGAGAGTGGTGGTGTTGAGAGAGAGGTGGTGTTGAGAGTGGTGGTGTTGAGAGAGGTGGTGTTGAGAGAGGGTGGTGTTGAGAGAGGTGGTGTTGAGAGAGGTGGTGTTGAGAGAGAGGTGGTGCTGAGAGTGGTGGTGAGAGGAGGTGAGGTGGTGAGAGAGGTGGTGGGAGGTGGTGTTGGTGTTGAGAGGTGGAGCTGGAGAGAGCTTGGTGGTGGTGCTGAGAGTAGGTGGTGTTGAGAGAGGTGGCTTGAGAGAGGTGGTGCTGAGAGAGGTGGTGTTGAGAGAGGTGGTGCTGAGAGAGGTGGAGCTGAGAGAGGTGGTGAGAGTGGTGGTGTTGAGAGAGGTGGTGTTGAGAGAGGTGGTGTTGAGAGTGGTGGTGAGAGAGGTGGTGTTGAGAGAGGTGGTGTTGAGAGAGGTGGTGTTGAGAGAGGTGGTGTTGAGAGAGGTGGTGTTGAGAGTGGTGGTGTTGAGAGGTGGTGTTGAGAGAGGTGGTGTTGAGAGAGGTGGTGCTGAGAGAGGTGAGAGAGTGGTGGTAAGAGGAGAGGTGGTGTTGAGAGGGTGGTGTTGAGAGAGGTGGTGTTGAGTGGTGAGGAGAGGTGAGTGGAGAGTGGTGAGAGAGTGGTGGTGTTGAGAGGTGGTGTTGAGTGGAGTTGAGAGAGGTGGAGTTGAGAGAGGTGGTGTTGAGAGTGGTGGTGTTGGAGAGAGAGGTGATGTTGAGAGAGGTGGTGTTGAGAGAGGTGGTGTTGAGAGTGGTGTGTGGAGAGAGAGGTGGTGTTGAGAGGTGGTGTTGAGAGAGGTGGTGTTGAGAGAGGTTGTGTTGAGCGAGGTGGTGTTGAGAGAGATGGTGTGGTGTTGAGAGAGGTGGTGTTGAGAGAGCTGGAGTTGAGAGAGGTGGTGTTGAGAGGTGGTGGAGTGAGAGGTGGTGTTGAGAGTGGTGGAGAGGTGGTGTTGAGAGAGGTGGTGGTGAGAGTGGTGGAGTTGAGAGAGAGGTGGTGTTGAGTGGTGGAGTTGAGAGAGGTGGAGTTAAGAGAGGTGGTGTTGAGAGAGGTGGTGTTGAGAGAGGTGGTGTTGAGAGAGGTGGTGTTGAGAGTGGTGGTGTTGAGAGAGGTGGAGTTGAGAGTGGTGGTGTTGAGAGTGGTGGTGTTGAGAGAGGTGGTGTTGAGAGAGGTGGTGTTGAGAGGTGGTGTTGAGAGTGGTGGTGTTGAGAGAGGTGGTGTTGAGAGAGGTGGTGTTGAGAGAGGTGGAGTTGAGAGAGGTGGTGTTGAGAGTGGTGGTGTTGAGAGAGGTGGTGTTATGACAGGTGAGGATTCGGGACATGATTAGTCATCATTATAATTAGTGTAGGGAAAATACTTAATGTTTGATTAATACAGAATATACATTGCAGGGAATGGCCTATTCACAGATTTCCATGTGGAAAATGACAGCCTAGCTCTCACAGTGATGACATTGTGAATATAGCAATGACATCCTGTAT